CACAGACAGAATGAAAGTTTGTTTTTAAAGTTGTTTTGTCGTCCCGCAGTTATTCCCATCTTTTGCTCTCTGTGTCTCTCTCATTCCCATTCTCTCTCTCTCTCTCTCTCTCTCTGGCAGTAAGAGTTGCCCAGGATAATAATCAGCCATGTCGGCATACAAAGTGCACCTACCTAGCTCAGCCAACTCATCTAGCTACCTGGCTGTCTACCTTACCAGCTGCTATCCACGCCCCTGACTCGGTTTGCGGGGCGAGCGAGCGAGCGAGCGAGTTGGGGGAGGGGAGTCTGGGGTGGTTGCTTTTCCACATTCATAACAAGGCATGTCCGTTGTCGCCCTTCCTTGTGTACCTTCTCACCCGCTCCGCTCTTCGTCCTCCTGCTGCTGCATACACGCGGGGCCATACGTAACCGTTAAAAACTCTGCAAAAACACACACAGAAAATCGATAAATTTTTGCACTTGCCAAAGAGCAGACGCCTGGGCATGGACCGCTGGGCGATGGGTGGGGCAGGCAGAGAGTGACAGATGGAGTGTGGGAGAAGAGAGAGAGAGCAGGAGAGGGAGTGTGGCCAAAGGGGAGGACAGGGTTGAATGGGAGAGCGTTGTTGCCTCAAGCTTCTTCTGCTGCTTTTACTGCGTTGTAGCGGCATTTGCCTTCAGGACAACTTAACGGCTGTTGTTGTTGCTGTTGCTATTGCTGCTGCTTCTTCTCTTTTCGCATTCGCCTCTGCACACAGTTTGGCTCGTTGTATGTATGTATATATGTGTGTGTGTGTGTGCCTGCCCTTTGGCTGCCCTCGCTGTTAGTTTTTCTTGTATGGCGACTTTTATTTTATATATGCCACTCACACACACACAGACACACAGGCATGCATATATACATACTTGCATACACACGAATATATACATGCATATATGTGTGTATGTATATGTATATAGCACATGCAATGTGGCTCACAGGCGTGGCTGTTGAATGGGCCGCATTGGGTGGCTCTGCTCGCAAGGATGCTGCCAGTCGGCACACACACACACACACTCATTTATATACATTGGCAAACACATGCACTTGCACATGCACATAACGGCACATGTGGCCTGTCTCAGTGGCGCTGCCAGCGTCGCAGCTGCTGCGCAGCCACTTTTAAACAGAAATGCAAAACAAAAACAGAAAACAAAACAAAAAAAAAAAAAAAAAAGTTATTCAAGCTGCAAATTTTAATTATTTGTTGATGTTGTAGCTGTAGTTGTTGTCGGTGTTGTTTCTGGCGCAACTTTAAAGCCCACGCAAAACAGAGATGTTAACAGAGAGCGAGAGCGCGAGCGAGCGAGAGAGCCGACTTGAAGAGCGTCAGCAGCAGAGCTTATTAAAAGCAAAGCTCTTGCGATGTTTTTGTTTTGTTTTGAGTTGTTTTTTTTTTTTTTTTTTTTTTTTTTTTTTTTTTTTTTATTTTTTTTTTTTTTTTTTTTTTTTTTTTTTTTTCGTTTTTTCATCGTTTTGCTTTTTGTGTCCATTAAAGTTGCATTTTCAACTGGGGATGGGGCAAGTGAAAATAGATTAAAATCAAATTGAGAGAACAGAGAACAAACGATAACTGACAGCAGCAGAAAGAAAGTTCTTTTTGCTCGCAATTTGTTGTTGTTTTTCAATTTCTTTAGCTAATGCGTCGAAGAGCTTTTCATGTGCTTGAAACTGGACGAAAGAAAACAAAAGCACGTCAAAGTAATTAAAGCAATTAAATAAAGTGTGGAAGTCTTTGATAACAAAGAAGAAAATTTAAATATACATTAAAAATATATAAATAAATAAATACATATAAATATATACATAAATATAAATATATACATACATATAAATATATACATACATATAGTATAGTAAATAAGTATATCTATATCTAATGTCCAAGTAGAAATAATAATCAATGAAATGGCATATTAAATGGCTCCTATAGTTAATTAAATATGCCTTAGAAAATACAAATGAAATTCGATAAGAGGCAAGCCTGAAATTCGAATGGCATAGAAGGGAGGGAATGCCATGGCAGGCAATGGAATGGAATATTAAATTGCAAATAGAAAGCTATTTTATAATTAAAGCCTTATGCAATCAATAATAAACGCACACGCATACTAATTTGCTATCTTTCTCTCTCTCTCTCTCTCTCTTACTCGTTGCAGGTAAGCCATCAAAACGAAAGAAACTCGAAGCTGGCAACTCGAAACTTGCAACTCGAATTCAAAGGAGCTCGCAAATTGGCAATCGTTGGCAACGCGGGCACGGGCACAGGCACAGGCACTGGGCAACGGGGGGCAGCAACATCGTGGTGTGATTGCAGAGGAAAGGGAATCTCTCTTTCTCTCTCTCTCTCTCTGTGTGTGTAGAGTTCTCGGGGTTGCGAGCGGCTCAATTTCGTTTGCATGCACACATTGTATGTAAAGATGTGTGCGTGTGTGTGTGTGTGTCTGTATTGCTGTAGGTCGATATGATTGATGAGAAATGGCAGCTAGCAGGAGCAGCAGCGTCGACGTCGTCGTCGTCGTCGTCGTCGTTGGATTTTAAAGCTGAATGAGCCAGACAGAAGCCGCCGTCGCCTGGTGTTGCGCAGCATATATGTGCATACATACGTATATATGCATGTCGGATATTTCTCCAGATTAGATAATTATGCACTGCACTTTTGCCCTTCTTTCACTTGCTAATCAACTGTCCGCGACCTCGTGGGGACCACACTCGATATTAGTGTTAACTAACATCTCACTCAGCCAATATTACCCAATACTATGCATGAACGGACATATCGATAAGATATTCTATTCGAATAATACTATCGTCTTCGTTTAAAGCTACATACATATTTATGTGTGTATAAGAGTAAGCAGAGGGGGGTGGTAGCGCAGCTTTAAAGCGTGCTGTTGTTTCGCATGCTTCATTCTTTAAAAATAGCTATCACTGAAGTTTGGCAACGTTGCAGCTTTGCATTCCGCTGCTCTGCGCAGCGTCGCTAACCTCTGTCTATATCTCTCGCTCTCGCCCGTTCGCTCTCTCTCTTTCTGTCTCTCTCTGCCCTTCTCTGTCTATGTGCCATTATTATTTAATGAATTAATAACCGACCGAGCCGTGTATGCGGGTGTCTGTTTCTCATGGCTACCCCTCCCACTGGCGACAACATTTGCCTGACGTGTGTGACGTTCGCTTTGTCGGGTCAAACGCGTCGCACGTTAATCACAACTCAAACGCAACGGCTCAAGCGTCAGCAGCTGCGACGCAACCGTTTAAAAAAGAAATTTTAATAATGACGGCTGACTTGGGGTGGATTATGGCATAGGCCGCAGCAGCAGAAGTAGAAGCAGCAACGAACAGCAGAGGCAGCAGAATCGCAGATGTTGCTGCTTGACATGTTGGGCACACATTGCGGCAACATGTTGCTGCAACATGCTCTATGTTGCCGTTCGCATAGGCCGCAGCAGCAGAAGTAGAAGCAGCAGCGAACAGCAGAGGCAGCAGATACGCAGATGTGACAACAAACATGCTGCAACATGCTCTATGTTGCCGCTCGCTTCACACATGTTGCTCGAGCACGTCGCATTGTCATGCTGCTTTGTCGCACTCACTCGCTTGCTCACACACACAAACACACACAGACATACAGAGGCACACGCGGCTCACGAAAATGAGCAGCGTAGCTATACGCTCGTTCTCGCTCATTTTGGTCGCTTCAAGCTGCGCGCTAGCTCTCATTCACACCGCAACATGTGTGAAGCTGTCTACCGGCCGGCCGGGTTCGTGTCCTCAATAAATATGAAGAGCCAGCATTAAGGCGCATCGCTCAAATGCAACTAATAAATTTTACATTCTATGCAAATTGATGCGCGCTGCACTCGGATTAGCGTAGATTGGCCCAGGCGTGCACAATGGGGTCAAACCTGTTTAGCCACTTGATAAAGCCATCATCATCTTGAGCTGGCCTTCAAACGATTACTGAATGCACCTGCTGGCCTAAGATACAGATACACAAACACATAAAAAGAGAACAAGAAGAAAAAAGTAGGAATGTCTGACGAAATTGTAAAAAAAAAATGTTGAATTTGGATTCATCTGCAGCTTGATTGGCTTTAAGTATGTTGGGCGAGAATTGTGTTGAATTATTCATAACTAAGTTCATTCGAACTAGTTAATTCAGTCAGTTTGAGCTGTGTAATCACATCATTGTTTACTTTAAATCTAGCCTTAATTATTAATAATATTAATAGTTCATGAACTATTACCTTCTTTTGGCATAGGCAGCAGATTGAATTCATTAGATTAGATTCACTTCATTGCTGAGTTTAGTTCCAAGATCTGTTAATTCATAATTTTATCAGAAGTAGTTCATGAACGAGCAAACTCTAAATGATCATATTATATACACAAATATTATAGTTCACAGCTGGAACCTATTCATTCACTAACTTACCTAGTCAGAGGAGTGAACTATATATAACTAATATGAACTTGTTCAAAAAAAGTTGTCCATAGATTGTCATTGGTTTTCTTGCAGCTAAACTAGTCCAGTTCAACTTGTTCATTAGGAGAAATATCGATATTACGCTGAACTTTAATCGATGTTTATCGATATATATTAAGTAAACTGTAAAGATAGATAGAGATATGGATGGAGTCTACTAATGAATGAATGAAAGTAAATGAATAAATGAATAAAGGAATGAGTGATCTGTAATTATAAATATAGATGGAATATAATGAATGGATGAATGAATGAATGGATAGTCAAGCAATTCGAGTTGCATAAGTTTATTTAGCTATACATATGTCGTTAAATATATCGTTATATATATCGTAAAACGAACATATGATCTAATAATATAAATATTGAGCGAAATGAATGATTGAATGCAAAGTTTATCTCTCTGAGTTGCAAAGGTTGTTAGCTAAACATATATCGTCAGATATATCGCTAGATATATCGCATGCGTACACACAAATCTAATAATCTGTTGTTCTTTCTCCCCCACTGGTCGTACAGGACAATGGAGCAGCAGCCGTATGTCAAGAGCCTCGGACACTTGCAATCCCATCAGCAGCAGCAGCAGCAACAGCAGCAGCAACAACAACAGCAGCAGCAGCAAATGCATCACCACCATCACCAGCAGCAGCAGCATCAACAGCATCAGCAACAACAGCAGCAGCAACAGCAGCAACAGCAGCAGCAACAGCAGCAGCAGCAACAACAACAGCAGCAGCAGCAGCAATCGTCGAGGTCGGCAGCTAGTCCGCTGTCGCCTCCGCGTCCTGGACCGGGCAGCGCGGCGGCCGCAGCTGCGGCGAATAGCTACGCCAAGTTTGCGGATGCGCCGCAACATTTTATACAGCCACCGGCGTACAGCATTGGGATTGCGCCGGTGGCCAACTATCATCGGGAGAGTCCATATATGCGGATACCTCAGCTGCAGGCGTCGGTGCCGGAGTTTCAGCGGGCGGCGCGTGCAGCGACGGTGGCTGCCGCCGCTGCTGCCGTTGGCGGTGGCAAAGGCGGCCCGGGCAGCAGCAGCGGCGGCAGCATTGGCGTTGTCGCCTCAACCGCCGGCCCAGGCAGTAGCAGCGGCGGCGGCGTCCTCCAAGTGGCCGGCAGCATGGCACCGCCAGGCGCCCAGCCCGGCGGCGTTCTCGTCATGGAGGCCATGTCGCATTACCAGTCGTTGCATTACAACAACGAATACCTGACCAATGCCGCAGCCTTGGCAGCGGCTGGACAGCGCCAGCAGCAGCAGCAACAGCAGCAGCAGCAGCAGCAGCAGCAACAACAGCAGCAACATCCGTCGCTGTCTGAGCCGCCGGGCAGCGTGGGTCAGCCGTATAAGAAGCAACGGCTGAGCGATGCCAATGTCAGCAACATGAATCACCTGCCACACCAGCAACAGCAGCAGCAGCAACAGCAACAGCAACAGCAGCAGCAGCAACGCTCCTCGCCAGCTCAGCAACACAACAGTAGGCAGAGCAATCATGAGACGGAGCAGTCGCGGCGCGTGTTGCACATGTCCGCTGGCTCGGTGCTGACGCCGCTGGCCATGCAGCAGCTCAAGGTGGAAACGCTGCCACAGCAGCAACAACAGCTGCAGCAGCAGCTGCAACAGCTGACGTCCCAGGTGCATGCGGCACGTGGCATGGTGCCGCCGCCCACGGTGTCAGCATCCAATGCGCAGCTGATCAGCTTCTCCACCAGCAGCAGTAGCAGTAGCATCAGCAGCAGCAGCAACAACAACAACAACAGCGGCAGCAGCAGCAATGCCCAAGCTTCAGTAGCAGCAGCTGCAGCAGCGGCGGCAGCAGCAGCCGCAGCAAGTAGCACAGAAGCATACCATCCACAGGTGACGAATCGTTGAGACGTTGAAGCCAGTGAATGACATTAGCTGAACGATAGATTAATCATCGAATTAAGATCAAGCACAGGAGCAACTTAAGAAATTCCATCTATATTGGAATAACTTGAAAAACTTGAGACATTCGATCGATAACAGAGAATACTATATAGAGAATGTATACTAATACTAATACACACATGGAAATCCATAAATCTTGTTAGAAATTTGAGCAAATGTATATCAGAGAAGATCTATCTATTTTTAATAGAGAAAATATACATAAATGGAGTTAATTCTATATCTAGAGTCACTTATTTCATTCATATATATAATAATGAGCAAAAGAGTCACAATTTTGCACAAAGAATAGCCCTTTAATAGAAAGAATAGACACTCATAGGGTCACTTCTCATCCATACCAAACAAAGGTGGATAGTTCCTAGAAATCTCGTGAAAATTTGAAGACAACTATCTCTAATAGGAAGAATATCCACAAACTGAGTTGCTTTTCTATATAGAGAATATCTAGTTTTGATACAGAAACTTCTCATCATAGAAGGAAGATCAAGATAAAGCAAAGTAGATGTATAGCTAGACAGCTCTAAGACATTCATTAATTTTTGTGAGACATTCGAGAAGATCTATCTATATCATAGAAGAACAATCTTTAGTAGAGAGAATATACACAAATAGAGGCTTTCCTCAGCCTAATCTAAAATTAAGATTAAGCAAAGGTAATTACTTCTTAGAAATCCATAAATATGTGTGAGAAATTCAGAAAAAAATCAGAGAAATAATCAGAGATCTATCTCTAATAGAGAGCATATACACAAATAGAGTAACTTATCATCTTTAACCAATTCATATTCTATACAATTAAAGCCTTAAATTATCTATATAAAGTAATATCCCTTATAAGATAATGATTATAGATATGTCAAGTAGCTTTATAAGGATGTCTTTAGCTTGGATGTGCTTGATAAAAGCTTTAATGCACTTCATTAGATCTTTAATGTACTTTCTTAAAGCTTGACTGAGATATAATTAGCTTTTGCTAACTGAATGTCATACCTATATGACAATATGTCATACATAGAGTAATTCAGGTTTATCTATCTATCTGTCTCATCTCTTCCATGGAAACTCTCAGTCTAATGAAAGCTTCTCTAATTTCTAAAAGCTTAAGATTTGAATAGGAAAGATTTTATTTAGCAGAAATGAGAATTATAGTCGAATATCGATAAATCGCGATAGTTTAATCGCATCGCGTTCAGCTAATGTCATTGCACAACAATTTTCTGTAATGTTTTAATTATTAATTCTTTCATTACCTACGGCAGGTGGAGGCCATTTCACCAACGCTGCCCAGCGACAATTCAGAGGAGCGCGGACGCAGCAGCAGCACAGGCGGCGCCAGCAGCAGCAACATTACCAGCAGCAGCAGCAGCAACAACGCCAATAACAGCAGCGGTAACAGCAGCAGCAGCAGCAACAACAACAACAGCGCCAAGGACGATCTGCTCTTTCAAATCCAGCGCGTTGACGATGAGATCAAGTATGCCGAAACGGCAATGGTGACGCTGCGCAAGAAGGAGAAGACGCTGCTGGACGAGGCGGCGGCAACGGCGGCGACGGTTAAGCAGCAGAAGGCGGCCGCCGAGCAGGCGGCAGCCGAGAGCGGCAATGAGCGGTACATGGAGCTGGGCTGGCGCACGCAGCTGCTGGCCCAGCGCGTGTACGAGGCGAACCGGAAGACGGCCGCCGCACAACATTCCGCGGTGAGCGAGGCGGGCGGCGTGAAGAGCATGACACGCCCCTGGCTGCCGCTGTACAATCAGCCGCTGGACGTGGAGGCGCTGTCGCAGCTGATCAAACGGCATCAGACATTGGTGCGGGCACCGCTGCTCGTGCACATACGCAAGATGAAGGCCGACCGCTGGGAGTACAACCAGGGCCTGGTGGAGAAGTATGCCAAGGATCAGGCCGACTGGCAGCGCCGCTGCGAACGGGCCGAGGGCAGCGCGAAGCGCAAGGCGCGCGAGGCCAAGAATCGCGAGTTCTTCGAGAAGGTGTTCACGGAGCTGCGCAAGCAGCGCGAGGACAAGGAGCGCTTCAATCGTGTCGGCTCGCGCGTCAAGTCAGAGGCGGACTACGAGGAGATCATGGACGGCCTGCAGGAGCAGGCGCTCGAGGACAAAAAGATGCGCTCCTATGCCGTGATACCGCCCCTGATGCACGATGCCCGTCAGCGTCGCTGCGCCTACCACAACGAGAACGGGCTCATCGAGAACATGATTGTCGTCCACGAGGAGCGCAAGGCACTCAATCTGTGGACGGCCGGCGAGAAGGAGACGTTCAAGGAGAAGTATCTACAGCATCCGAAGAACTTTGGCATGATCGCCGCCAGCCTGGATCGCAAGTCGCCGCAGGATTGCGTACGCTATTACTACCTCAGCAAAAAGACGGAGAACTACAAGCAGCTGCTGCGCAAATCCCGCCAACGCACACGCAGCAGCCGGAATCCTGCCAAGGCGCAGGCCCAGCTGCCGCAGTGCATCATCGATTCGCTGACAACGGGCGTCACGACGCGCCTGCAGCGCGAGCAGCAGCAAAAGTCCGGCAATCGCTCCAGCGCCGTGGCGGAACGCGAACGGGCCGAGCGTGCCGCCGAACGGGAACGCGTCGCCGAGAAGGCAGCCGCTGATGCCGCCAAGGCGGCCGAGTGTGCTGCCGAGAAGGCGAGCGCCGTTAGCAAAGCTGCCGAAGCGGCGGCGGGCAGTGAAAAGGTGGCCAAAAATGCAGCAGCAGCAGCAGCAGCCGCGGCAGCAGCAGCGACGGCAGCGTCAGCGTCGTCAGCAGCAACAACAACGGCGGACAAGGCGGATGCGGGCAAGGCGCCAGCTGGAGCGAATAAGAATGCAACAGCTGCAGCAGCAGCTAAAACGGAGATCTCAAAGGGCAGCAGCAGCGACGCCAAAGCCAAAACCGCTGAGGAGGAAGCGCCAGCAACAGCAGGAGCAGCAGCAGCAACAGGAGCAACAGCAACAGCCGCAGCAACAGGAGCAGCAGCAACAACAGCCGCAACAAATGCGTCAGCGAATGTTGCCGGCGAGGCAGCTGCAGCAGCTGCTGCTGGTGCGACTGTTGCTGCCGCTGCGACCGCTGCGCCCACGTCCAAGGCATCCAAGTCCCAGCCAGGCGATGCCAAAGCAGCCAATGCCGCCAAGGCAGCGGAGCAGCCGGCCGAGACGGAGGAGCAGCTGGCGGGCAAGAGCAAAGCAACGGCTGCCGATGGCTACAGTGGTAAGTGGCTACAGTGGAAGTGGGTTTCAATCTCTGCCGAGATTCGCTAATTTCAATTTCTCCTTGCAGCAACTGGTGCGACAGCAGGCAATGCGACGGCAGCGGCAGCGACAACGCCTGCGGTTAGCGTGGCCATCAATGGCTTTAAGCCTGGCTATCAGAGCGTGGTCATGGCCAACGTGAAGGCGCCCGCGCCCTCCGCTGGCTTGGATGATGCTGCAACGGGCGCTGCTGCGACGGCAGCCGCTGCAACCTCGACAAATGCAACTGGCGATAAAATCGTAAAGACGACGTCGACTGCAGCGACAGCAGCAGCAGCAGCAGCAGCAGCATCGGCAGCATCAGCATCAGCAGCTGCTGCTGGCTTTGCTGTGCCCAATGCGGCAGCTGGAGCCACGGAGCCGGCGAGCGGCGTGGCAACGCTTACCACGGCCACCACAGCCGGCAACTATTTGGGTCAGAAGCTGAAGGCGGCCCAAGTGGAGGGACTTGGTGCCGGCAATGAGCTGCATGCGGACGTTAGGTGAGTTATCGATCACATTGCTATCGATTCCATTGCAAAAATGTGAATTTTAACTGAGGCCTTAGTATATAATAAAGATATCGATATAGCGTCAGAGAAGCTATCGATAAATATAGCGATTAGTTGATACTAGCATATAAATAGAAAAGCTTAAGAATGAGTAGAGCTATTGAGACAATCCAAGCATATTGATCAAATACAATATCGATAGTCAGTCAGATCAACTTCGATTAATTTATAGATAAGTTGATACGGGCTTTTAAATAGACTTGTTTGAAAGAAAGTAAAGCTTAATCGATAGCAGAGTGCAGCTTTGATGAAATGTATACATTCAAAAAAGCTGTCAATTACTATATCGATAAGTTAAGAAAGTAATGCTAGCGATTGTCGAATAAGTACAATGTCAATGAAATAGTGTTCATTAAAGCAATGCTAGCTATCGATGAGTTATTAATGAAGCAATCCAGTGATAGGATAGGTGTATCGATTAGCATATATATCGATAAGTGAGATATCGACAGCATATGTTATTTCGTGATTCATTACTAATTAAATTCCTTTTCGTATTTCCCACAGCGATGCCAAGAAGAAACGCTTTGAGCTGGCGCCTGGCGAGTCCAACGTGAACAACAATAATAATAATAACAACAACAACAACAACAGTAGCAACAACAACAACAGCAACATCAAACTGAACGCCAGCGATGCGTCCAATCAAATCTCGTCCATTGGCAAAGGCGCCGGCTCCAGCCTGGCGCCCGCCTCCTCGTCCACATCCTCGTCGTCGTCGTCCTCGTCGATGATGTTCATTAGCGCCGCATCGCTGATATCGACAGCATCGTCGCCGTTGACGACGGCAACGGGCACCGGAACCGGAACCGGAACTGGCACCGCAACGAGGCCGACGACAACGTCTACGTCAACGCCAATGGTCACAGATCGAGCGGGCAATTTGTTGAACACCTCCGAGGTTCTGGCATTGGATGCCAAAGGTAAGTGCCAAAAGTATTGTTCAACTATTTTAGGCCGAGCTTAATGTAGCAAAAAGTTCAAATGGATCTGGGAAAAAATTGCACCATGTACAATGTCATGTTCTATTGAATTCTACGGACCCAAACTTCAGAGTCTCAGATTGACGCACTAAAAGCTCACAGGGCTTATACCGAAAGCTTTGGGAAAAACGAAAGCTTCGTGCCACAATGTCTCTTTTTGAAAGGACTTGCGAAGCTTTAAAGCTTTCCGAAAGTTTTTTACTTTCTTCAGCTGGACTGCAACGAAGCTTTAAACAGTTAGAACTCCCGTTCTTGTAGAGCTTTACAAGCGTTTTTAGTTCGTCCTTTTACTATTGCAGCATATCTTGAAGCTTAAAGCTTTACTGGTTAATGTTCTGGCTGCAAGTTTTCGCATAGCCTTTTCAGTTGTCCTTGAAGCTTTCTGTTTAGACTGAGCTTTTAGAGCTTTCCCTGTTTTTCTTTTAACGGCTGCAGCTGCAATTGAACTGCATTTGCTGCTGGACTTTCGTCCTACGTCCTCTGTGGCTCATCAAAAATGCATTTCGCGCTATCCCAATTATCGTGCTCTCTGCCCTTTGTGTTGAATCTGAATATGAAGTGTTTACCCCAGCTCGCGTTTGTCCTTCGTGCTCCGTCCTCCTCCTCCTGCTGCTTCTGCTGCTGCTTTTGCTTTTCTCTTTTGATTGACTTCTTTCGACTGTCCCCGATGAATAGTTGATGCATCTGCATACGCCTCAAGTCCAACTGCTGCTGAGCTCAGCTCAGCTCTGCCCGTGGATGCTTGATTGGTGCCTGCCACGTTTTCGCCATGGTCCAAGTGGGTGGTGCGTGGCGGTGAAGGTTGAGCAGTGGGTCGGTGGGATGGGCCTCTAGCCGTCTGTCCGTCTGTCATTCAGCTCGACGCGTTGCGGTTTGCTTCTTCCTCTCATCTCTTGCCCCATCCTCACTCACTCTCAATCTTCCTCTCTCTCTCTCTCTCTCTCTCTCTTGAACGTTTGTTGTCTGTCATCTCCCTGGCGAGTTAATTAAACGCAATTAAATTAAAATTTTTGTAAACGTCTTTTTTATTATGCAAGTGATTTAATTTAATTATTAAATTGCCGCAACGTTTGTTTGCGTTAACCGACGCCATCTTTGCCACAAAAGAGCGAGAAGCGAGAAGCAAGTAGCACGAGGCAGGCTGAAGGGTTGCGGCATGCCCGAGGGGTGCTCGCACTCAGAGAGGGAGACGAAGCGTTCAGTTTGATTGAAAGCAATCGATTAGTATCATCGATAAGTTATATCGACATCTAATAATTTGGTATATAGTATAGATATTTGATTTGATTATAGGAAATCACAATTGTTGCGCTCGATATCAGTGTAGATCGATAATTGCACTTATCGATAACAGTAACAATGTTTCTAGTGGTTATTCTCTACAGTTATTCAATTCAATTGTATTTACGATTTGTTGCACATATTTTGCAGTAGTTTTGAATTTAATGTATTATCGATAAATTCTACTATCGATAACACAGATAATTGTTTCGATTCTTAGTAAAAGTGTTGAAAGCACTGAATACTTATGGGCTACACTTGATATGATGTTTATTTGATATTTATCGAATCAGCTATCGATCGATTATCGATACAGTTGCAAATTGTTCACAATTTTTTCATTGTATATTTAACTTTTATTTATTCAAACTTTAGAGCAATTCACAAAAAAAAAAAATTGCATGTGCGTGTGTGTGTGTGTGCGCGTGCTAAATTCGATATTTTATCGATATGCGTTTAGATTAGATTAGTTCGTTGCCTCCAAGGGGCCGGCAACTGTTGCTGCTTCACGTTTGGTGTTGCCGCTGCTGTTGCTGTTGCTGCTGTTGCTGTTGCTATTGCTGCTAGTCAAATTGTTGTTGTTGTTGTTGGTGTTGCTGCTGCTATTATTGTTGTTATTGTTGCTGTTGCTGCTGCTGTTGTTGTTCTCGAGCTCATCGGCGTGGCACAGCTTGCGATGCTTGTGCACAAAATAATAGCTCGGGAACTTGCTGCCGCACGTCTTGCACGGATAATACTGCACATTCATATCCAAGGGGCGCACCTCGCGGCGCAGCAGCGCTGCTGCAGCCAGATTGCCATCAGCAACTGTGGCCGCTGCAGCTGCAGCTGTGGGTGTTGCTGCCGCTGCTGCTGTTGCTGCCGTCGCAGTTGTTGTTGCTGCTGTTAGGCAAAGCAATTCGCTGCCGCTGTCCGGCGTCTCTGCCAGCTTCTTGTCCAAGCTGAGCGGATTCAAGTGGCGCTTGGCGTGCTTCTGATAGCAATATTGCGACTTGAATGTGTGTTTGCAGTAGACGCAGACGAAGAGCTCTGCATGCGCTTGCTTGCGCTGATTAGTGGCAGCAGCAGTCGTTGTGGCCGTTGCTGTTGCTGTGGCAGTTGCTGTTGCTGCTGCTGCTGCTGCTGTTGCATCGCTGCTGTTCTCGTTCTCCTCCTGCTGCTGCTGTCGCTGCTGGCTGCTTATGGCGCGCGCCATTTGCTGATGAAACGAGTAGCTGACGCTCTGCTGCGTACGCTGCTGCTCGCCCGCCACGAAGCTGCTGTCCGGCTTGTGGCCGTACGCCGTATTTAGTATGCGCCGGAAGCGCACGGGCCCATCACAGCTGGCCACATCGATGATGAACTTTGATGCCTGTGTTGCTGTCTCCAGCTGCACCGATGCAGGCAAACTTGCCTTGGCTACCGGCAATCGATTGTTGTTGCTGCTGCTGCTGTTGTTGTTGCAGTTGCTGCTGCGTTTGCTTTGACTTTTGCGTGAGCTGTTGTTGCCGCGTCGCTGCTTGTGCGCGCCTGTTGTAACAGCAATTGTTGCTTCTGCTGCCGCTGCTGTTGGTGGCGGCGGTGGTGACGCGTGCGTCGACGTCGGCGTTGGCGTCGGCTGCTTTGTTCTGGTATCGACACGCTCAATGTTCAGGCTGCTGGCCGCGCTGCTGCTGGCCAGGCTGCTCACCACTGACACGTTGCAGTCCTCCGTGTCGAGCTCATTGTCCGTGGCCGTGTTGCTGTCGATGAACACCTCGACATCCTCCTCCTCCTCCTCCTCGTCGGGCTGCTGCAGCGTCAAGGGCTCGGCTGGCTGCAGCTGCAGCTGCATTTGCTCCGTCTCCACCGGCTGTTGCATGTAGCTGGCTGCGGCAGCAATTGTTGGCGCTGGCGGCGGTGGCGGCGGCGGTGGCAATGCTGGCGCCGGCAGAAATCCAAAGTTCGGCAAAGTCGCTTTGCTGGCAATGGGTCGTATGATCTTGGAGGCGCCACCGCCAGCAGCAGCAGCAGAGGCAGAGGCAGCAGCCAGCTGCAGCTGGTGCGGATTGGCCGGGCTGCCGCTCAGATAGCCCTCCGTTTGGGCGCGCGCCAAGAACGAACTGAGTGATGCAAAAGCAAAAAGTGGAACGATAAAAGAAAGAAAATAAATAAAATAAAGCGAGATTGCAAAACAGAGTGAGAGGCGTCGCTGCGAATGCCTACCGACAGATCTCCAGGGCGCGCGGCATGTGCAGCACGTGCGTGGCCAGCAGCACGGCGAATATGTTGTCCACGTTGAGATCCAAGTAGCCCGTGTACATGTAGGTGAGCAGCGGGGCGAACTGCTCGGCGGTCACGTTGCTCAAGTAGAGCAGCAATTCGCCTCCTGCTGCGGCAGCGGCAACAGCGGCCGCTGCTGCTGCCGCCGCAGCAGCAACAGTTGCTGCCGTATTGGCATTGGCCGTGGCCGCTGCCGCAGCAGCCGCTGCCGCCGTTGCCGTTGCCTCGTCCATGCGAATGGCCGAGCGCAAGTAGCCGCTGTGCATGCCCAGGACTAGGGCGTGCGCCACGAAGCGGACGCTGTTTGGCGCCGGGCCCACTTCCAGGATAACATCCGGCGGTGTGGACATGACGCCGCCAACACCAACCATGGACATGTTGTTGCTGGCAGGGGCCGGCAGGCGACTGTTGCTGCTGCTGCTGCTGCTGCTGTTGGCATTGCTGCCGTTGCTGCTGCCAGTTAACCAATTTGTAAACATGAAAAAAATATATATATTAAAAAAAAAACGAGAGGAGCAAGCAACAAACAACAAAGCGCGACGTGCGGCGACGTTTAAGAGTTTGTGTTGTTGTTGTTTTGTTTGAATGAGAAAAAAAGGAAATGTTGCTGCGATCCGTCACGTGTGCAGCACAAATGCGAACTGATGAATGCCTCGTGTTGCATGGCGTATTTTATAGCCAACACGAGAAGGCTGACACCAACACACCAACACACACGCACACACACACGCGCACAGATAGCCAGCTAGCGTCAGCTGTGTGAGTCCTTCGGCTGCTGCGCTGTTCGGCTTTGGCTCTCGACTTCGGCTGTTTGACGATTTGTTGTTGCTGCTGCTGCTGTTGCTGTTGCTGCTGCTAGCGTTTTGTTTGTTGTCGGCTAGGTCTGTTTAATTGGTTGTTGCTGTTGCTGTTGCAGCATATTTTACAAATTCATAACCAAAATTAAGCTGCGAACTGAATGAGTTGCTCACTTTGTGGCAAGTGTTAAACGGTTAACAAAATAAATTAAATAAAAATAAGACAATAATTAGAAAGCAAATAAATATATAAAAATATATATTTATATATTTATAAATAAATTAAAATAATGTCAACTGGCCACTGTCTTTAACAAAATCAACCAGCACTCGGGTTGGTACAATGACAAAGATGCAAAAGTTTCAGAGTTGGCGTACAAAGTATTGCCTACTTATGAGCGTTGCCCAAAGCAATCTTTGAATGGGTTCAGGGTATAATGGTTTTGTTTTCAAATGCAAATTTGAATGCATTTTAAGGATTTCAGTGGAACCATACGTTGGCGTTAGGTGGCGTTCCATAGAGGTATTCCATGTCAAAAGGCTGACACGACCAATTGAGGCGATTCGTCCACTCTGCCTGCCTGCTAGGCACCTTTGCAGGTGCAGGACCCTCAGGTTCCAATGTGAATATGTATGTGAGCTAACGTCATACAAGACTATGTGACAAGATTTGCGGTCTAGGCAAAGCGCTGCAACTTTGCCATTAACAGCCCTGTTCTTGAAGCAAGATCCAGTGCCACATGCGAATGATGCCAAATGTATCTTGAAGTAACACTGAATCGCAGACTCACCTTCTCCAAACATGTTACAGCGATTACAATGCGCTTACGTGTGGCTGTGTTAGTCTCCGATCTCCTTTTATGTGAGGGTCAACAGAAGTTGACACACAGATGCTAGATATTAGAAATTCGGGGTTGGATAACTAGGTTTCAAGCAACTGAAATATCTTTAATCTTTTCTTTGGTTATATTTAAGATAGGAGAGGAAAGAGTTCTAGAGAGAAACTAGCTGAGTCCAGTCCAATACTGCTTGAGCTTGAAGTCTTCTCCTAGACCTCTAACAGATCTTTGGGCTGCTGTTGCTCTCGCGGCTAGAAGAGTAAATTCCCATATAGATGTTAGCTCTTCTTGGCTTGGCAAGCCTTTCCTCCGATTGTCTCATGGTCTCATTTGATTCTGGATGTCCTTTATGCATTAGCAGATCACAAAGAGAGAAAAGAAATGCTGTAAACCGCGCACCTTTTGCTTCACTTTGCTCTGCTCTGCTTTGAGTTCGAGTTTTATTCACATTTCCTCAATTTTTTGAAACTGTTCGAAAATCGTCCGTTTGCCTTTTGGCTTTGCGTCAATCCATTGCCACGCCCATTCAAGCGTACGTACAGCCCCTTTTGGCCTGGTCATGTCTATGGCGCCTCAATCGACTTAATTGATTTGTGGGCATAACCAATACATATTTACATACGATACAGCTAATGTGTGTGTGTGTGTGTGAGTGTGTGTGCATGTGTGTGTGTGTTGATTTTGTGCGCAAGTGTGTGGGCGTATGTGAGTGGGTGGGTGTGTGGCTACTTGCTTGCTTTATCTAGCTGTGTGCGTTTGGCTATTAGCTTACTATTTAGAGATACTCTAAACAGGACATCGAGTCCTTAGCATGTACATATCGCTTTAGAGCTGAGTTATATATATTACTGAAGGTCTTTTCTGTGCGAACTAGTTCATAATTTGACTCACTTTGATTCAGCTGATTATTTCAATATCTAAACGTATTGCTTAAGGATTTTCTATATATATATATAATATATATATAATTTATATATTCAATAGATATATAATGTTCCTTTTGGAACTAGTTCGATATATTTATTATATATATGTATATTATTGCTATATCTTATAGATTCGAGTTCCTTTTCGAACTAGTTCTCCCAAAGTTATAAAAACAGAATCATTTATATACATATTTGTTCAGGTTTTTCGATATATACTGCATTATATATATTTTTCTAGTACTATATATTATTTCTATATATAATACATACGCATCGAATTAGTTATCAAATAGTTGCTCGATTGATTGCCTTGCTTATTTCCATAGTAAATTACTTGATTGGGTACACAATTATTTCTACATTCTGTAGTCTGACTTTATCGGGCTTCAATCGTCTTCAGGTTTACCATTGCGTATTTCTTGGCATTCACTCTCACTTGAGCATAATTTCTTTTCAAATGGGTTTCAAAGATGACAAAAAAAAAAACTATATATTTCTTCCGTAAAGTATCGCCAAAATATCGATAGTCCGGCGTAGCAGTTAAAAGAGAGTACAGTCTAGTTGGCAGTATTATATCCTGATCGTATACCCTTACCATACATTACATGTATATAGATGTTCTTTCAGCTAAAGCTATAACTATAGCAAGTTTACATTTTACAGGGTATTTGCCAGTTTGTCAGACTCTTCGAGATTTCTATGGCGTCTTGTACCAATTTGCTCAACATTTTCTTTTGCACGTTATTTTTTTTTTTTATATTTTTTATTTTGTTTGTGTGGCAAGGTGCTCCATATCTGTGCGCGTGTATGTGTGTGTGTGTGCGTGTGTGTGTGTGTGTATTTGTGTTTGATTGGGTTTTTATTTGTGTGGCTTTGGTATTTGGACATTTGGTTGGCTTTTAATTACCGCTGTTGCTGCTGATCAGTTTTGTTTGTGGAACGCCTCTGCCCTGCCCACATGTGGTTGGCTGCGAGCCACCGAACCCCCCGGCCCCGCCAAACGTTTGCCTTCGTTGTTTCTTTTATTTGTGCTGCGACAAATTTGTCAAAAAATTGTTTGACATTTGGTAGCTGTTAGGGGCGTGGCACAGGGGCAAAAGGGCGATAGATAGATGCAATTTCATAGATACGAGTCGATTGGTTGGTTGCTGCTCCGGTTGCTGCTGTTGTTGTTGTTGTTGTCGCATTGATAGGCTAATTTAATTAAGTTGTTGCTGTTGCTGCAATCACCTGTCCATTGCGATTAAGCTTCAATCAAGCGTTAACAATTTTAATTAAATTATTTCGAAATGCAATTATAAATGTTCGTCATGCATAAATTGTGTTATTCATTTATTTAATAAATAACTCGGTGCTGAACAAACGCCCCCTCAACATCAACCCCCCCTCCAACAGCTGACCCCCCCTTGAGTGCCTCAGCTGCAGTTGGCTCCGATTGTTTTTACATTTTGAATAAATAATCACAACGTAGGCAAAAAATGAATTTCATAAATTGCCAGCAACAGAAGCAACAAAACAAAAAAGTAAAGCGTAAATATGTCTGTCAGGACAACGGCTGCTCATGTCCTGCTGCTGCTGCTGCTGTTGCTGCTGCTGCTGTTGTTGTCGTCATCGTCAATCTGTCACATTTGTTAAATGCTACAATTAATCCCCCGAGCGCGTCAACCTGCTCTGCCCCGTATGCACCTATTATTATCCTGATGCGTTCGCATCCTGTCCATCATTCTTCATCTTTCATCCTTCATTCGGCATCCTGCATACTGCATCCTGCGTCCTGCTCATTCCACGATTCACTCTCTAATAATAATTAAACTCCATAGGTTTACATTTCATTTGGAGCGCTGCACTTGTTCTCATTTGAAAATGTTATAGATTAGTTATCGGTATTAGTTTTTTAATGTTACTATAACATTTTTGCGTGTTGTCGTCAGCTCTCTTTCAATCTAGCTTCGTTACAGCTATTTCCTTTTCGCATTCTCTCTGTCCAGCAGTAATTGCATTTATCGATAACACAAATTATCGATCCCTCACATCAATCAATAAGAGTAAAAACTCAGCTTTACCGGGCATAAGTAACTAATATTTTGTTATCGATAATTATCGATTCTGCAGTTTCTACCGGTATGCCCAATTAGTTACCATTTTGCATTGTGTGCGGCATTTGTGGGTGTTTTCAATGCGCTTGCTCCACTGTGCGACAGTGGGGCGAAGCAGGGACAACAGCCATCACCTGCAATCACCTGCTGCAATTCAATTCAATTAACGCGACGGTTAAAAGCTCTGCGCAATTAGCTTTACTCTTGTTACACGCTGCAGCGCATGGGCCGGGGGAGGCGGGGCGTGCTGTGAAGCGAAGGGGGGGGGGGGGGGGGGGCGAGGGTTTAAAAACATTTTTGCTGATCTTTGCAGTAAGTTGGCAAATTGCCTGCCAGCCAATCGAGCGACTGCAACCACACACACACACACGCACACAGAGAGCTGTCAACTGTTGGCTTTTGTCTTACGCACACACACACACACACACGAAAATATACTCATGTGTGTGTGTGTGGCTGTGCACATTGACTGTAAAACTGCTGCTGAGCCTTTTGGTCATGTTGACAAGCAAACCGCTCGCTCGCTCGTTCGCTCGCCTTGCCAAACAACTTCCCCACGTCTCGTTCGCCCTCTCTCTCTCTCTCTCTCACACACTCTGTTGCTCTGCAAATCCATTTACACAAAACCAGCCACGCCTCCTCCCCCCCTCTTGCAGCCGCTGGTCTTGTGCAGTTTACGCTTCTGTTGTCGCTTTTTGCAATAGCTTATCCCAGTTGAATTTTATTGTTTGTACACAGTTGCCGAGGTTATGGTGGAAGACAGAG